CGAACCGATGCAGAACTTTGCAACAAACCTCGTCAAATTCTAGCAACCAAACAAAGGGGTGGGATGGTGTGCTACAAACTTGTCCAACTTTTCCCGAATGCAAAGCCGGCTAGTAGCATCAAAATGAATACAATAGCTCCGATTAAGACGGAGAAAGAGGTACTAATAGACATTCATTCGCAACCGAAATTAGTCATGTTAGACTGCAGAGCCCCAGCGGAACAAAAAACGGTAGCAAAGATGCTTGAAAATCGACGAAAGAAAGAAGCTGAGAAATGCCAAAAGGAGAAAAGAATTCAGCTATAAACGCAAGCTAAGGCAGCAGAACGCGAAAAGAAATAGGCGCAGATGGTGCAAAGTCAAGCACATAACGTTGCATGACAAGCGGATCGTGCGAAAAAATTAGCGAAAAAGCACTCCCTAAAAGTTTGCGAACCCATTATTAAGATTGGAGTGCGAGGCGTCAAACAGAAGCGGCGGTTAGCTTTGGTTCGAATGTCGCAGAAAAAGAAAACCTTGTTGGAAGCTATGGGGATGGCTGCAGAAGTTGTGGCGAGCGTGGTATGCGGCGCTATAGGTGTTGAATAGATTCCATATTTGACCTTGAAAGCCGTATAGAGGTGATGTGGCAACCGAGAGCGGTGTTCAAAGGCTAGAGGGGGCACAAAAAGGGTGGAAGCTCGCGGGATGGTCAGTTTAAGGAACGGAGTACGCCGGAGCGATTGCACAACATTTCAAAGGCCAAAATCAAATAGTTTCTGAGATATCTTGAGAATATTTGAAAAGTGTACAATTCAAGCCTTTTGTGAACGGTACAACGGGAACCTGAACTTGCGTCGAAAATTTCCTTCATGGAGTTACAGTGCATAGACACGGTGAAAGAAATGCAGGGACGCACGAATGTATCTATCCCGCAGATAGTATCTCACTCAGGACCCATTAAAGCGGGCCACGTGTCCAAGTCCATCACGGCAACCATATGGAACTTGTCTTCCTCATCATGCAAAGGTCCACGATGGTAGAAAGCTTCCTTGTAACTTGCGTTGTTGACGATCTTATTGTACCATAGGAACACAAGATGGCGTTCGACTTGGAGGCCATCTCGGCGCTGCTCTGCATAGGAAAGCTGCCGTCCGCAAAAGCGCTGCAAGAGCTCTTCGACGCTCTTAATCCGGAACTTCCCAAAGATCTCAAGTCCACTGAAGTTCCTGCTCCGCCGTCCCCAATCCCGGATGCAACCGTACTACACTTCAACTATGACGAGGGTCACTCCGCCCGCTTCACCGTCCCGCAAACACAAGGCGGCTCAGTCGACTTTGAATACGTCATGGACCGACCAACTCCACTGAAATTTCTTATCACAACGCTCTCAATCCCCGCACCGGAACCCGCTCCCAACATGGAGAACACCATCTTCATGCCCGGTCTCAACACTTTACACGAACCGAAACCGGGTGAAACCACTACTGAACAGCGTTTGGAGTACTATGTACGCGTGCTTCGTTCCCCAACAATGGCGCAATTACACCCAGGAACATCTCTCGACCAGGGAGATGTACGCCTGTCCGCCAAACGGGCTGTGGCTCTTCGACTCGCTGTTTCGGCCTTATCAGCAGTAGTGCCCGATACATTTGAACCCAAAATCGATGGTGACGATGTTATCTGGTCGGCTCGCCAGCTCGATTTCATTCAGACTGGTCTCTCTTCCTTCAATCTCATTGACACGCCATTGAAACAGCGTCTACGCGATTTGCTGAAACGCAGTTGCGCCCCAGATGGTGAATCCGTCGTTCTTGTCGGGTATTCACGTTCTTCCGTTGATATTCGCTCCGCTGTACAGGATTACATACGTCAGCAAAAGGCAGATGGCGTTGAAGAAGACGTGGTACAACGTACATTGAGAGATCGCGTCACCGTTGTTACCGTAGGGTCAGCTACAGCCGGATATCCAGACGGACCGGCGTATGTACATCTAGCTGCTTTCGAGGATCCACTTGCCAGTGCGTCCGGTGTTACTTCTAAACATAACGCCAATCGTGCAGGGAAGGACGCCGTATTTCTCAACTTTACATCGCCGTTTGCGAGAGGAGCGTTCGACTCACATAACTTTGGAGCGCTTAGTTCGCAGTACTTGTCGGTCGCAATGGCCGCTAACGGAGCAACTGGACTACGTGATTTGTGGGAAAAGGTGCAGCAGAACGGTAAGAAAGTTCCTCCGAACGAGGATGAACTCTTACGCGCTATGATCGTCTGTACAGATGGCACCCAGTGGTTGTGGTCTCCTGAAGAAGCTTGGAAGGGCGTGTCGGTGGACGCCTTGCCGGATCCGGACAGAGCAGAAGCGGTTTTAAGGGAAGGCTTTGGTGATGCTTTTGTGGATGCCCTCATTCGCGATTTTGGCAAACCTGCTGTACCAAAATTCGGTCCGCGTTCTGTCTCTGTCAGCGCTGATGGAGACGGGGGTGGTGGCGGCGTGGATGGCGGGGATCAGAAGGAAGAAGAGGAGCGTCGATGCTGGCCGTTCTGCAACATCTCCTAAACCCGACTCGTGCCGGCTCGACATAACTTCACGTAGTTAAGCTGTTAGGTACTGTACAGTTTAACTAGGATGGCCAACCTCTCGTGGTCAGCTTTGTAACTTGCTGCAACTTTCTTAACCGTTAATGTTCCTCTTTCTCGAACCAGTCTTCTCTGAAACGCTCCGTTTGTATTCCGGGTAGAGTAAACTCCAAAGACGGATCTGTGCGCCACGTTGTCTTGCCATCCCAAGGCTGGGGGTTTCCTTTCAGCTCACGTTCTGTAACGCTCCTCAACGATAAAGGTCTTGTTTGTGGCGGAGGATCCAGGCGATGAACATATACTATGAAGGGTAGCAACCACCCCGCAATTTTCGTTGTCTTGGTAAGCTTGCGTGTAAACAAGAAGCGACATATTATTGGGCCGCTCTGTGTTGGGGATCGCTTGCAGGGGACACGTCCAACTGAACGGTGCACCAGATGCTGTCCGCAGACCCCGCCCATCCACGATGATCCCGTTCATTGGGTGCTAACTCTGTTGTTCAACGCTGCTAGGGTTTGTCAAAACGACCTAGACCGTTCAAACTGCGACAGATTTCCCAACCTTCCCCAAGGGATCAGCATCGCGTGCAAGTCGGAGAGATGAAGTTGGATCCCTAATGCCTGTGAGTACAGCCGTACTGTACCAAAGGTGCGGTTGGTAGCAATCTACCCACATTTCAGGAGCGTCGAAGGACTGCGATGCGTCTACATTTCCAAAAGATTGATTATTCGGGAGAAGCATTGGGCCAACAGTCTTTGCTCACGAGTCCTTCGTGACCTACAAGGACAAAGTGCAAGTCGTCATATGCTAGCGCTTGTAGTTCCTTTTCATCGACTGGTTTCTTCCGATTTGTAACTCGGGTATTGAACTTACATTAGTTGCATGTTCATCTTTGACTGATCTTCAGGGGACCTGCATCATAGGGCGTCCTCCGCAACAATTCCGTGGATAAAGTTAGGTATGATAAAGGGTTAACGGCTATCAAAACGCCACCCTCCGAACTCCCAAACCCTTTAAAAATGGATCGGTCGCTTCATCTCACACAGTCCGCATGGTTCGACCTCAACTCCAGGATCCCCAACTGCAACAACTACGAAGTCTCAGAACTTTCCCGAGCTGAAGAAACGGAGCAATGACGAAGATAGGAACACATGGTTTGACTCCCTATATAACCGTCAAGAATGCGGCGTCTACCATCGACTTCTACAAGGACTGCTTCGGCGGCGAAGAGAAGTTCAAACGCTGGTTGAGCCCCGATGGAATGGTGGCTCATGCTGAATTGGAATTTGGGGCGACGAAGGTGTTCGTGGCTGACCCTTGTGAGAAATGGGGTACCGCTGCCCCAGGTCCCAATGAGGGCAAGTCGTTGTTTCTGTATCTACATGTGGAGGATCTCAAAGCTACTTTGGAAAAGGCGAAAGCAAATGGTGCTGAGGAGTTGGAAGGTATCAGTGACGTTCGACCGTACGGATGCCGTGAAGCTCGAGTGAAGTGTCCTGGTGGGTACATATGGACTCTATCGCAGAAAGTTACCGATCCGTCAGAAGAGGATATGGAAGCTGCCCGCCTCAAGTTTGAGCAGAATGGGGACATGTGAGCTGGTTAATGCATGTTCCACGACAGGCTAGCAGCATTTGCGGAAGCTGCAAACCGTCGAGGTTCGTTTACAATGGGACGGGGGACGGGGGACGGGGGACGTGAGTGTTTGATGCGTAGAGTTTGGTACTGGGCAGTTCATTCAGTTCGCTTTGCTTCTTTCTACCTCGCAATAAATTCGTTACTGCAATCCATGTAGATATTTCTTAGGCATGAGCTGTCGAGACATGGGTTAGCGGACCGCTAATTCCCCTCCGCTCGTGCATCATTGGGATTAAGTTCTGAAGCACGCTTCCCTGAGAATTGGCGATTTCGAGTCGTACATATGGCAAAGGGATGCGGCGTTTCCTTCATACCCGTCTTCCCTCACCAGAGTTCGCTATCGGAGAATGGTTGTATAGGACAGAGTAGATTGGTGGAGCAAAGCCCAAAGCAGAATGAGCAGAGTCATGCGATCTGCGTCCTGCCCACAAGGGTAGGCCGTACCCATATCGAGTGTAGTACACAGGAGAGTTCCCGTGAGAGAAGGGGAAAATCCGTCAGGGATAGTATTACTATGTGGGTGCATGAGTTTCTTGGTTTGCTGCGAAAAGAGTAGTGCCCCTAAACTTCTTCTTCCACCCTTACGTCGTAATCAGACTATAAGGGCCCACAACAAATTAGACGAGTTCCAAAGAATCTGGTACACAGCATCTGTCCCGTACATTTGTAAAGTTGGAACTGAGCGCGCGTTCAGTGCCAACTTTAGAGGACCGATCGCGGAAATAAAAGCCAACGGGAAAGGTCGAAGGTGAAGCGAAAAAAGGAAAATAGCGACATGTTTGACCTGGATCTGCCGGGCGATTCGCCGACGTCAGGTTCGATCCCGGTACCTCTCCCATGCTAAGGGAGCACTCTACCAATTGAGCTACAGACCCCACGGACTTCAAGAAGGCGCGGCAATCGCACAGTATTTATTCAACATCTATTACGGCTTTCGGCTGCAATGTTATGCCCAAAACGGGAGCAAAAGTGGCAACAAAGATCTAGCTAGAGGCGGTGTGGTAATGGGTTAACCGTTATCAGGGGTTAAGAAGGTTTTCCTTTCGGTTAAAGGGTTAGATTGCTAGCCTTTGGTTGCTGCGAGGTATGTGACATCGGATATAAACTGCAGCAAATCTATGAAATGAAAAAACGATGAAAGGCTGCATTCGTTCCTAGCACAGTTGTTGCTCTTTCTATCGCTGTAAATCTGGCTTTCCGAGCCTCGACGCCGGCTGTGAGAAAGCACTTTAGTTAGGACCAGGTTTCATCTTCTTATCCACAACAGAGCGTGTATGCCACGATTGGAGCGCTCAAGGTCTCTATAATAACTGTATGTCGAGTGCGTTGAAGCTGCCTCCGACGCAGCGTAGACACATAGCGACGTGGCGTGGCGTGGCCCACAAAAACTTATGTCCCTGTCAGAACCATTGGAGCACCCTTGTTGTGGCAGCGGCCCATCGACCATAAGGTTACCACACACCGGAAGCGATTGCCATGATGATCCGAGTAACAGAATGCGAAGTATTCGTTTCTCTCTCTCTCTTTTACGAACACGCATACATTAATTCCTCGTAGCGCGGGGGTTTGCTAAGAATCCCGACAACCTATAATACTTACTCCTATACCGTAGCCACGAACTATAAACCAGTAGCCGTGCTACACTCACTGGGCTACATATGATACGAAGAAAGTATTAGGTCCCGTAGGTATCTTCAACCGCTGAAGCGTTTCGTTTCCGACGGCTATCGCCTTCTTCTCTGCACCTCTTCATTCACCCTCTAGAGATCGTCTGTTACGGGCACACCACGACAAGGCGCTTCGCATGTACCTCGTTGGCCGCCATAGAAACCATTGACGACGTCCTTTCGCCCAATCCTCATATCACCGGCGAGACCAGACAAAAGAACCGGCGCGTAGCTTGCATCATCATCCGACTCAGCGTAGTCCTACGAGAAAACCCTGGAGAAACCCGTTCAGAGGATCCTTTGGAGCTCTTCCTTTGAGGGAAAAAATTCAGGGAAATGGCGGTTGGATCTTCTTCTGACAACAGACTCGTGACGGATTGCGTACGTACAGTTAGACGGGGGCCTTTTCACGACTTTCCACCCAGGTCCGCGACCGGCAAGCTGACCGATCGTCTGGACGTGTTTAACGACCTCCCGAAGTATTCGTTTATCCGACTAAGGTGTTGTAACACTTGCGGAGAGACATATTCTTTGACAGGAATGTCTACTATGCTTTCAGGATTACTTGCGTGCGTCCAAAAACAAACATACATCCATCCTTTCATAAAGACGATAAGGGAAGTCTGTACCAGCTTCTGTTCACCAGTTTCTCAGGCGAGTCCTATACAACATGTAACACGTTCTTTGTTTGACACTCAATCTGAGTGCTTTGCAGGTGCAACTACAACGGTAGTTTCATATTCAGTGAATCTTGGAATACAAGCCGTACACGGTCATTGAGATCTATGTCTCTCAATATGGATCCGCACAAATGAACTCTGTTTGTCTCTATGAACTTTGTACCATTGCCAGCTGGAAGAAAAGGAATGTTGGAGGAGCATGACTGTGTCCTTCCGTGCTTCTCGATACTTCTTGGAGTCAGGAAACTCTCCAGTGCCGTCACCGAATGTTGTGGGGGGGGGGCGTGTTCTTCACTGTCGCAGATGCATGAGTGCGGTCGATCCACGACAAAGGTAATCGACAGTTGAACTCTCGAGCGCCTTGGGAACTCTCAACCTTCGATACAACCGGGTGACAATGAGGATACGAGTTCCTCACGCTTTCAAGCTGCAGGTGCTGATGCGCTTCTGTCCGAAGAGTGCCAACATGAAACAGCGGAAGGTTAAGATCCGGTACGGTTCTAGAGCACACAAAGATCATCGGCATGAAAAAGTTGGTAATGTCACGGCACGCCCGGGCTCCGTGATCTCGATCTTTGAAACTCTTGCAAAACTAAGAGCCCTGATATGTACGAAGGGTATGTACTCCACAAGCGCAAAGAGACGACAATCATCGCCTATGATCTTCACGTTACGCAGATGTAGTTCGATCGACAGTTTGGGTTCACGCGCTCGTTTCAAAATTCCCCAGCGCGGCCATGGAGTGCCCCAGAGTCTAGCCTAATCCAGTCAACACTTCGCAAAGCAGACTTGTAATCGCCATCGTGCAATAGATCTAGTACTACCTCGGCCTGCCGTAGCCCACGATAACGCTTCACCATGTTAGACAACAGATATTGGACAGATCTCCTCCAGTGCAGTGCGCATTGTTCGGAAAGACAACGGTTATAGGAGAAGGTGGACCTGCGTCTCCCTCCGACTTACCTAACTGGTTCGAAACCAACAACCAAACTTGAGAAGTCATTTGAAAAGCCTGATTAGGTACACGTGAATGAACCACGGGAGCGGATACTCGCCTAACTGGGTTCGCAGTCACACTCGTCCTGAAAGCCGATAACAGATTTCGCCGTCGTCGAAAGAAGCATTGCGAGCTTTTGAAGTTCCTCTTCTTCCTCGGTATCCTCCTTAACGGAGTTCCATAACGCCGAGCATCTTTCCAGCTGCTTATTGTTCTCACCTGCGTCTTCAGCAAGTATGCTCGCTAGCAGAACGCGTGCAGAAGCGTTGTTTTTCTCCTGTACAAGTTTGTCAAGCAACTCTATGGCACGTTTTCTGTTTTGAGTTATACCTGCAATGCCTTTCCACAGCAAATAACTGAGATTCATGGTGGCGATATCTCCCACTGCGGTATCCATCAACGATTCGTACATCTCAACAATCTCGTTGCCTGTCTCTACAGACTTGGGCGTTTTCTCTAACAACAAGCTTGCTAGATTGAGCACAAGAATGTCCTTTCCTTTCCCAAACTTTCTAAATGAATACGTGAAGCATCGCTCGTCTCCCGTGTAGGGTAACTTGATGTTGCCCATTCGAAGAGATAGAGGCAGCCATCCAATGTAACCGCTGTCAAGCTCAGATATTGGAATGTCACGAAATATGGCCTCCGCACGGGCTGGATCATATTCAGGGTCATCCGGTTCACTGATGAACAACGAATGAACTAGGTCAAAGTATGTTTTCTCCTCAATGCGCTTGTAATACTTTTTGGCGGCGCGACGGTCTCGAGGCAAGTTTGGGGCACCGTATCGCAGCATAAGAGAAAGGGTGCAATCCTGAAACCAGCGCCTAGGCCGTGCGATACTTATAGCTCTCTCGCGGTCCCGTTTAACGTTGAAAGCGCCGTTCCAAAGAATACAAGCGGTTGTGTACTCTACAAAAGAATCGTGCCCACCCTGGACACGAAAGTGCTTTAAGACGGAAAGCGCACGTTGGTAGTCGACTGGAAACCCTTGTTCACCATACGCTAGAAAATCGAGCAAAGATCGAATGGCCTCGTAAGAGTTGTACTGCTTAGCAGCGGACTCAAACAGTTCAAGCGCTCGCGCAGTCTTTTGAAGCTCTGGAAACTCGACGTACAAGTCGGCAAGTTCTAGCAGATAGACTTCGCAGTGATGCTGTTCAAGAGCTTCCTCAAGAAGTTGTGCTGCTCGTGCGGGCTGAGGTGGATGATCCCAGTCGCGGCTTGTCAGTAGAAGTGCTAGACAGCTTTTAGATCGATGGTCCCCCGCCGTGTCGATTGCGCTTTGATACCATTTAGCGGCCTTTTTGAAAGAACGCGGTAGTAGCGGAGTGCCACTTTCGTACAAAACGGCGAGGTTGTGCATCAGACGGGGACTGTTGGACTTTTTGATGGCCTCTTTATAAAGACGGAGCGCGCTTCGTTTATCGGCTTGCAAAACTGGATTTTGGAGTTGAAGCGATGCGAGATCAGCCATGATATCTGGATCGCGCTTAATGCGTATGGAACGCTCGAACAACTGGGCTGCTCTGAGCAGGTCTTGTTTGGGACATTGCTCATCCATGAGAAAGCAAGCTAGCGCGTGAATACATTCATAGTTTTCCCAGCACTGAACAGCGCGCTCCAGCAAGGGAAGGGCGCGACGCCGCTCGGAACGGTTTCCCTCATGTTGGAAGTAGAGGCCAAGGAAGAGAAGGGCCCGTTGGGCGTTTGCTTGCTTGATGGCTCGCTCGAAGAGCTGAACCCCTCTGGAAGGCTCCTTGGGGAAGTCTTCGTCCCCAAAGGTGAGCATGCAGGCGAGACCGATCATGGCGTGTATGTCATTGTTCGCCTTAATAGCACGCTCGAAAGTGCGAGCACGGTCGGCTGCGGACGTTTCTCTGGGCGGCATTGAGGTGCAGAATGGTGATACTTATCCTTAGGGATTGGGGCTGAAGCCGCATTTCCTGGTAGTGGCTGCGAAGTAGAGCTGCGACTCAGTTGACTGTGCGAACAGAAAGCTGGGGGGTTCATTAAGTCCTTCGTCGAAGGGGTTCTCAGCAGATGTGAAAAGGCGTCCGGCGCTGCGCCACTGCTGAGTAAGGTTCCCTCAGCGAACTACGCTTATTGCAAGTTGTGCTTTGCTGGTCACTCTCTGCTGGCGTTCAACGGAAGGCAACGCAGCTTCCACACACAGCTCAAAGCTGACGAGCGTCATTCATAGAAAGCGTCATTGGGAATGGACAAATACTGTAGTTGATGGTCGGAAGTTCAGACCATCAACTACAGCATTTGTTCAGACTCCGAACCAGAATTGGGCTGCTGTAAAATGTGTAAAACGTGTAAGTTGTACACCAATAACAGTACAGAGTTCTAGCTCTCCCTGCGGGCGGAATGGCTCAGAGGACCACCTCCAAACCCTTTGAGAGCTTCTTTCTACACGACCCAGTAAGAACCCGGAGTACAAGACTACAACGGCGCTCTTTTGAGAGCTTCTTTCTACACGACCCAGTAAGAACCCGGAGTACAAGACTACAACGGCGCTCTTTT